AAGAAAATGAATTACTAGTTTCCTTTTTTTCCCATAACAAATACAGTATTCATTTGAGCTCCTTGTTTCCTTTGTTACGTTGTAAAATGTTAATAGCATGAGAGAAAGTAACATGAATGAGCCTTGTGTCCTTTGAGTTGGTGGATGTGAAACATCCTTCTCTTCCCCATCTGGACAGTGGCCACCACAGAGTGCCATGGGCCTGGCATCCTCAGAGGGGTGGTAGATGCAAGGACACCACTCAGGCCCTCAGCCTTCCTCGGCTGCTCACAGGTGACAGCCCCTCCCCATTTTCTGCGGCACTTTTGTAGTATCATGAAGCCCTGCAGCTGTGCCTGGAGCAGAACATGACCATCACAGAAGAGATGGCCGAAAAGATGACCGTTTCCAAAGACTCGAAGGACCTGTCTGAGGAGTCCCGTCGGGAGCTGCTGGAGCAGATAGCAAACTGCTGCATGCGCCAGGGCAGCTACCACCTAGCCACAAAGAAGTACACACAGGCTGGGAACAAGCTGAAGGTGAGTGTGGCCAAACTGCTCTCACAGCCATCTCACAGCCATTTAGATATGGCCTGCTCTTCATTTCTCCATGTGCCTGTGCTTAACCAGAGTGAGCAAGAGCTTTTCAGGTGAGGGTTGCGGGGGTGGTTAGGGGGGCACGACAGATGAGATAGAGAAGCCCTGAGTCACTCTCTGTGGATCAGACTTGCAGCACTGCTGGGTGCTGCACACCTGAGCCCAGCTCTCTCTGCCTAGGCCATGAGAGCCTTGCTCAAGTCAGGAGACACGGAGAAGATTGTGTTCTTCGCAGGCGTCTCTAGACAGAAGGAAATCTACATCATGGCTGCCAACTACCTGCAGTCCCTGGACTGGCGGAAGGAGCCAGAGATCATGAAGAACATCATCAGCTTCTACACCAAGGGGCGTGCCTTGGACCTGCTGGCAGGCTTTTATGATGCCTGTGCCCAGGTATGGTCCTTCTTTGGGACTCTAGCAGGCCCAGCAAAGGTCATAAGAGGTCCTAGCCCTTGCTGGATCTTGACATTCCCCTTGGTGCAGGTGGAGATTGACGAATACCAGAACTACAACAAAGCCCATGGGGCACTGACTGAGGCCTACAAGTGCCTGGCCAAAGCCAAGGCCACAAGCCCCCTGGACCAAGAAACCAAGCTGGCTCAGCTGCAGAGCAAGATGGCACTAGTGAAGAGGTTCATCCAGGTCCGCAGGTATGTCCCTGGGAGACAGCAGGGCAGGGGCCAGAGGCAGACCCAGGGATTGACTGAGGCAGCTGGCCCCTCCCCTCCCTCCCCACCACACTATGGGCCTCTGGTAGCCCCCCAGGCCCCTCTGCACCTCATGCTTCTCCAGCTTCCTTCACTGGGAGCACAAGGGCTGAGGGCAAGGAGCCAAACCAAGCTTTCATTTCTGATGAACGTTCTTCAAAGGAAATCCTTGAGTAACTAGATAGGAACCCAAAGGGCAGGTGTGCACCTGCCCAGGTCACACAGGGGTCAGGCAGGTGATCCTGAGTGAGGGACCATTGTGTGACTCAGGGTGGCTGGGGCTGGGATGACCAGCATGCTCCTGCCACCAGGCTCTTGGCCTATATGGGGGAGGCCTAGGCAGTGCATTGTCTCAGTTTTTTTGTTTTATTTTTCCAGTTTTGGCCAACACCGGGCTTGAACCCGCCACCCCTGGTATATGGGGCCGGTGCCCTACTCCTTGAGCCACAGGCACCACCCATTGTCTCAGTTTTTAGGAAGGGCAAGAATCTAAATTTTTTGGGATACTTCCCAGTTTTCTACTATGGGCACGTAATTCTGGGGGTACCACACCTGAGCAGACATCTGTGGGCTTCCAAGGCTCAACACTCACCTAAACTAGCAAGAGTATGTCTCT